TATATATATATATATATATATATGTGTGTGTGTGTGTGTGTATGCATGCATAAATTAAAGAAGCTAGTCGAATTAATTATTGAAAGTTTCCACGTTTTAAACGGATCTATTAACATGAGTAGATATGTGTATAAATGTCCATTATCCTCGTGGAGTTTAAGCGTGGGATGTTTGAATCGGTTATTGACTTGAGAAAAACAAAGGGTATTAGTTTGTTTGTTTTTTTAAAGGCTATAATAAAAAATTAAATCATTTATACGGATTTATTTAAATAGTTTTAACTAATTGCTAACTATACTATTAATCTACATGCGTCGACGTGTATAGACTGTTTTTATTAACTTTTTAATATGTAATTAAATCTCTATATAGTAAATATTTATTTGGAATTTTCTCAATAAAAAATATAATAACCAAATGATTTAAAAAAAAAATATACTCATTTATATGTCTACAATTGCAAAATAAAAAAATAAAAAACGACTTGGAAACTATGGCGGATGCAATTAATGTGTGGAAATGGAAAGATGAAGTTTGTCCATATATTGTAAGAAATATGTTCTCCTCCCTTATTTATAATATATACTTAAAATCTTTATATAGTGAATAATATAATCAAGAGCCACATATTGCGGATTAACAGTAATGGATCCTAAAATAAGAAAAATAAAATAAAAGTAGAAAATTAAAAAAAAACTATTCATATCTTAAAAATCTTAGTGGAGTTTGAAATTTACGCGGAGAAGTGTCATGCAATAGAGCGACTTGACGAATAAATTTCCTCTGTGTCGTCATCTACGACGGCTTTGCCCAGTTCCCCGAGTTCCACGCCTACTAGGTTAATATGCCGCCATTATCCGTGCTTCCTTAGGAGGGAGACCCTGAGAATCTGCTTTAGAGATCGGATATTAGGGTTTTCAACGAAGTTCAGGGTCCCGAGAGCATCGCTTTTGATCCGTTCGGTCGTCCTCCATACACCGGCGTCGACGACGACTGTGTTCTGTTCTTGGATTGTCACCGGTTCACTGATTTCGAGGAACCGGTGAGTTTCTTTAGAGTTTGAATTTTTTTGGTAAAAACGATTTTAGAGTTTGAATTTTGAATTTTAGTCGTTTTGTGTTCTGGGTTTCGTGAGGAAATCGGATTCTGGAGAAGGGATTTCGTTGTTGGATAAGAAATCAGTGTTTCTCATCTTTCCAAAGTGGGAATCATGGGAAATAAGGTGATCATTTGGTGAAGCTAGAGAGCTTATTTGTAGGATTATGGCTTTGAGATTTGGAATTGATAATGTGATCTAGAGTTGTTGTAGTGTTGTTATTGGTTGCATACAATATGCGATTCAATGCTTAAATGTGTGATTCGATTGTTTTGCTTGTAGATTAATGGTATCACTCTATTCGATTTGAGCAATTTCTGTGGAAACCCTTTTTCTGGAACACTTTGTTCTGTTAGATTCGTATATGGAACATGTATGATGCCTCTTATGTTTACTGCTATTTTTTGAAATTCAGATATCTATGTGAGTGATTCTTCAATGGTGGGTCTTGAAAACTGGGGTTTGTTTGTCTCTTACACTCTAGATCTTTATAATTCCGGTCAGAACAATGCAACCCATGCCTTGCTTGAAGAATGAGCACATCTGATCGACGTCTTGGTCTTCGGTTTGATAAGAAAACAAGGGATTTGTACATTGCGGATGCTTATTTCAGGGCTGATGAAACTTGAGAGCAGTGTCTGAAAGAGGTGAACTTCCCAAAATGGCGGAGGTCGATGGTGTGGCGTCGAGGTTTACCGATGATCTTGACGTGGATGATGAATGAAATTTTTACTTTACCGACAGCAGCTCTGTATACCAATGGAGGTATGTTTTCTTCAAGTGTGTGTTACTTTGTTCCCTGTTTTCTTGAGCTACTGAAGGGAATGAATCTGAGTTTCTGAAACTTGAGATTTATGATGAAGCTTGTTAAAGAAAATTTTTATCATCAGATTATTCTTCTTTTCCTCAGTTTATTGTTTAACCGTAAAAGATATCAATAGATTGATTAATCCGTTTTCAGTGTATGTCTCTGAATCTAGATTTCTCTGTTCTTACTGAAGCTTATCGTGTTTAGCCTCCTGTCAGTATGCGTTTGTAATCCTTGCCGAGGAGAAAAGTAGTAGAAAGGTATTATCTTATCTTAAGACGTGACAATACAATAGATAGTCTGCCAAACTTTTGGAGGCTTGATGTTGAATTTTGTCGTCTTGTGATGGATGCTCTTAGAAGATATTTCTATGAACTTCATATGCTAGATTTATTACTTATTAACTTTGTTTCCTGACCTAAGAACGATTGATTATGTAGTCCTTGAGTATCCTGAAAAATGTTGGCTTATTTCAGGAACTTCATGCTATTACCATTAATTTCTCCGGAGAAGACAATGGAGGGTCTTGAAATACAATCCAAGAACAAAGAAAACTACCACTCTCGTGGGCAATCTCCAATTTCTTAATGACATGGGTTCCTTTTTTCATATTCTGTGAGGGACCCATCAGAAGGTGAGCCTTTTATCTTCTACCTCTATCTTCGTCAAGACCCAAGAAGATATTTCAGACTTTTGGAGATTTGTGCAGTGGAATTGCTACTGACACCATCATATTTTGCATTACAGCGTTGGGGTTTGATGGCGCAATCAACATTAGCAGTAGTTTCAGCTAACATGGGAGGATTTGGGTTGTGATCATAAGCATTCTTTCTTTTCTTCCTTGTGCTGAGTGTTCATGAGATTTCAGTAGAGGTTGAAATTTGTTAACTTGAAATCCGGCTAGAAAGTGGTAAACTTTTTTGGGTAGAAAACATCAACGAATTTAACTGTTTTTTTTAACCATGGGCAGAGGGTTTTTGGATCAAATGGTTGGTTTGGTTTTGTATCCTTTATCGCAATCTCCATTTGTTTCAGCTGCAAATTCATTGGAAAGTACTGTATTATATGACCATCTAAGAAAATGAGGAGAACCTTTTCCATTTGTTTCAGCTACAAAGGATTTTATTTCGTTAAAAAAAATGTATGAAAGCTTCAGGAAATCTCGAAATCTTTTATATCATCAATTTATGTTGTTTTCTTATAGTTTAATGAGAAAAAAAAAACTCAAAGGAAAAAGAAAGATTTAAAAAAAAAACATTAAAAGAAGCTTCATATTGTTTCCATAAAAAAAAATACTTAAAAAAATGTAAATACACGGTTGACCTTAAAAGAAATAGAAATGGAAATTTAAAGAAATGGAAAATAAAATTTAACAAAAAAAGAAATGGAAAATAAAATCTATCAAGATACTCGCCGCGTTGATTAAGAGAGAGAAGACCGCAACGTATGTGTGTATATATATATGATATTTTGTATTGTATTTACCTCGGAAGCACAGACGAGATAACGCAACAATGGTTTCTTCGTCTTCTTCCTCCGACAAGAAACTTTCTCAACATAATTCAGTATTTAGAAGAAGGCAGTCAACTGTCATCAAGAAAGCTCAGGAACTCTCCACTCTGTGCGGAGTCGATGTCTGTGTCATATGTTATGGCCCCGATGAATCTCTTCAGACGTGGCCCCAAGACATCGACAAGGTTAGGGACATTGCCTTCAAGTACAGATCGCTCGACGACACCCTCAGACGCAAGAGAAGCTTGAATCTTTCCTCCTTTCTTGACAAGATTGAGCACAATCATGGTCGCGATTCCATGGATCTGGGGACTAGGGTTGATGGGCTCTCTCCTGATCGGTTGTCGGAGTTGGGTGGTCTCTTGGAGAGAAATATATTATGTCTGAAACAGAGGCTTAGGTTTATTGAATCGGAGAAACACAAGGCCGCGGCTAACAAGAAGATCGACGATGCCCAAATCAGTAGTTCTTGTCAGCCGATTCTTGGACAGACCCAGTCCGTGAATTTTCCCGTAAACCCTAGATTTTCTAGGTTTGGTATGGATGAACAGAATGCGGCAGCGATGTTGGATTGGAATGCGTTTTCAGAAAACGGATACAATAACTCTCTGCAATACGCGTACTGCAATCCAGGTTTTAACGGGGCCATGGTTCCAGAGAGGAGGAGGATGATTCAGCAAAATCTAATGGCGAATGGCGGTGGGAGCGGAGGCTGGCCTTGCAACGGTTTAGGGTTTTCAGAAACGGGGATGGGAGGTGAAAGCAGAGGCATGAATATGGAAATGGAATGGACGAACTCTGGTTTACTTGTGCCGCAAGGATACATGAACAACAACCATCTGATGTTCAATCCACAACATCCTCAGTTTCGGACACAGACTCAAACTCCTCCTCTCCTGCAGTTTGCTCCGTTTTCAGACATCCATAACATTAACTAGTAGATCTTTATATATATGACCCTACTACTTGTTTATGGTTTCAGGAGTATATATAGATATAATCAAATGTCAGATATGGAATATATATATATATATAGTTACGAGTACTGACTAGTCATTCAAATTTTATGTTGCTTTATGATTCATCTTTGCTAAATCTAATGAACCACTTATTTGGCATATATATATAGTAGCGTCAATATTATGAAGAAGCTGCTTCATCTGTGAAAAGTTAGTTATTAATCCAGGAAATATATTATAAACTTTGAAAAATTATAAAGGCAAAAAATGTTATCACTACCTGGAAATTTGTATCAACCTTCAATTCCTCGAGATTTCGGGTAGCCATCTCCAGGAGCTTTGATGCATCAATGGTACGAAATCATATGCGTACGTATAAATATCAACACGCGACCAAGACCAAGAATCATACCAGACCAAGTTTCTCAAGCGAGTTGAAGTTGCGATCAATCCAAGAACTGCAACGTTGAATGTTGTCAGAAAACTATGTGGCTTACGGTCTGAAATCAATTTTTCCTATGTTTTGTTCTTACTTCTAAAATTAAGTTTGTTATTTACGGTATTATTATCGTTCAATTAGAAACTTTGATCATATTTTTTTTCAACCTCCTACAGTATTGTGCATTATTTCCATATATTAAAAATCTTTAAATTCATCTTTTAAATTTTGAATCGATTATAAAAAGAACTATAAATTTCATTTAATTAAAAATAAAAATTATTCGGGTTACTAGAAAACCGTAGCCGAGTGGTGTAGCTTGTGAGAGATGGTGGGTTACTCGTGTCCCAGATCCTATGTTCGAGCCGCAGATTAGAGAAGGGGTGCACAACTATCTGATAATTGTAGCACACATGTTGTTTGTGGACCGTGGAAGATGTAGCAGATCAAAGGTACGGAAAACTTTCTAGTTACCAAATTCGGGTTTATAATTCTTTCATCAATATATGTAATTAAATCTAAAAAAATTATAAAATATAAAAGAATATTTCGAAAAAATAATATTATATATACCGTACAAATGACTAAAATCAGGTTTAATTGTTTACTATTTTTTATTAAAAGAAGTATTATATTACCAAGAATTTTGTGTTTTAATTTAGAATCTTTTTACAGATAATATATTTTTCTATAATTTGAAATTTTATTTAATTAAATTATCGATTCTTTTATTTTAAAATATTTTAGATAAATTATTTTTATGTTATAGTTAAAATTTTTATTTTACCTATTCAAATTTTCTTTTTAGTAAAATAAAAATTATTGTTAATTTATTGAAAATAAAATCGTCAATAATATTGTGTATAAATAAAAATGAATATATTAGAATTTTTATTAATGTATGTTGACGTATTTTATTTCAATTATATACATTTGTTTTAAATGTTTCTTCTAAATTTTAAATGATTATTCTATTAAAATTAGGTTAGAAAAATTCGAAATTTGAATACTCGATTCAATTATCTGGCTCACATAAGATTCGTTCGGGTTTTGAATAAAAAGAAAAACCGAAATTATTTGGGTTGGAAAAGGGTACGAGGACAAGTATAAAAACCTAAGGTTACTTCGGTTTCAGACAACCTACTCTCCTCCTCTCCTCCACCGAATCTCCGATCTCTCCTCTCGCCGTCGCAGCTTCGCCGTTTCGGTCTTGGCCCGCCTCTAGTCACCCTCATCATCTCTCTCGCGAATCTCAGTTATGTCTGATTTAGACAACGGTAATGCCTTGCGTATCGGAGACCGACACACGCCGGACATCAATAGAGACGAGACTGAGGATTGGGATGACGAAGATGTCTCGTCAGATTCCGACATCGGAGAAGCTTTGGACTGGCTAGACGCCAGGGACGAAGACGAGGTCGTCGATGGTTCCTTCACTCTTCACGCGCGCCGACCCAATGCCCACGGTGGCCATGGTGCCCGCCCTAATTCCTCTGCTCTTCAACCTCTCTCGAATAAGGCCCAGAAGCTCGCCCATCACATCTGTGCTTCGCCCTTGGAGGTGAAAGATTCTTAATTTTCCTGTTTATTTTTCAATTTTGGTTGTGTTCTCGTATGGCGTTAAGCTTTGTTGTTTTATTAGGGTTTATGGTTTTTAGATTTCGTCATATAATTCGTTCGTGGGTTTTCTCGGTTTTCAATTAGGGTTTTGGACTTCATGTAGTTGGTACGGGGAGCTTATCCTTTCCCGTGTTTGATCTCTTTTAAGTGCAAGATTGCAATTTGAAGAAGTTTCTTTTGGTATTTTGAGTCATTGTACGAGTGAATTGTGGATGCAGAGTTGGGAAGCAAGGATGAAAGTTGGAATGTCTAATTCTGTGACAACTGCTATACGTGATAGCCTCAGGGAAACAGAAATCGGTAAAAGCAGATCTGTCGATAAGGCGGACCGGGCAACTGTTGAACAGGTGAAACTGTGCCGGTTTATCTTCAAGTCATAGACTTTTTGGCAATGTACTCATGTTTTTTCTTTGTTCCAGGCTCTTGACCCGAGGACCCGGATGGTTTTGTTTAGGATGCTTAATCGCGGTGTGTTCAACGATATCAATGGCTGTATCTCCACAGGAAAAGAAGTGCGTCGTGTTTTCAGCTTCCGTGCTTCGTTTAGTCATGCCTAATTTAATTGAGGCACATCCATTTAATCAATACTTCAGGATGATAATGTACCCTTCTATTGTTTTTCAGGCAAATGTTTATCATGCCACAAAATCTGACGGTCAGGAACTCGCAATAAAAGTGTACAAGACATCCGTTCTGGTTTTCAAGTGAGTTTCTTCTAGAATGCATGCTCATCGCGGAAAAAACCCTTTCTTCTCCAATGCTTTGCTCTCCTTACATCCTTATATTAGTCTTTCATCCTTTTTTAAGGCTAGACTAGGCTTGCATTGTTTTGCTCCAAACTCTATTCTTTCGATTTACTTCCAAGACGGAACAGAAGCTGCTTACTGTAATTCCTCCCATGTTTTTCTTGAACCGAATAGCATTGGAAAAGCGTAGTCTTAGTGGTGTATTACAGGAACTAGATAACTTAAGTTATTTGCTTGGTTGAACCAGTATATGTAGTGCTACGTGGTTTAGTTCAGTAAGGCAACTGAATCTTTGTCTTGGTTTTGTTGAGATGCATGTAGAACCTCTTCCCTTTTTCAGAGTAGATTTAATGCTCATTATTAGGATGATGTTACTTTGTTGTAACATGCCGTTTCTTCCGATATACACATGGAACCAAGAGATTTCTTTGTTTGATTTTCTGTTTGAGGCCTTTGACTATATTTATTCTCTGGCTTGTATAATCGCTTTTCAACCTTGTGTACAGGGATCGGGATCGATATGTACAGGGTGATTACCGTTTTAGATATGGATACTGCCGACATAATCCACGGAAGATGGTGAAGACATGGGCTGAAAAAGAAAACAGAAATCTTAGGAGGTAGTGCATTATGATTCATGGTTGATGTGCACTGGATGAAAAAAAAATAAAGATAGAATATGTGAGCATAGTATATGTTGATATATTCTCAATGAGCAGGACAGTGGTGAAAGACTTGCATGTTCGATTTATGCGGGAAATAATATAACTCCTTAGTTTTTTTGACGTATATTGTTTCATTGGCAGGCTTCATGCTGCAGGAATTAGGTGTCCAACTCCTTTGCTTCTACGACTTCATGTTCTAGTCATGGAATTTATAGGTTCGCCCTTCTGTTTTCATTGTCATCTTTTCGTGTTCCTTTTTTTTTTTTTCCTGTTTTCGTCTAAATTTTTCCTCAGGTGGCCAATGCTACTCTTTATTGTTCACTATTCAGTTACTTCCACAGATTACTTTCTTTTTTTAGAAGAAAGACAGAGTAATCTCAGGTTTCGCTTTTCATGAAGAAAGAATGAGAAATCTTAGATCTCACTTTCCGTGCCTTTGCTTCTGGTCTTGTTCCTCTTGATGAGTTGCATCAATGAAGATGAAATGATGGTTGGGCTGACATAGCTCGACTGACACTGTTTTTGTCTTTGCTGTCTGTTACAGGTAAGAACGGTTGGGCTGCACCACGTCTTAAGGATGCTGCATTATCTCTGGACAAGTTGCGTGAGTGTTATTTAGAGGTTCGTGAGAAGTTATTTTTCGTGGTCTAATGCTAGTTTTAGTTGTAAAAATGTCTTGATTTCCTTGTACTATATATTATTGTCTCATTGCCTGATAAAATTGTAATTTCACTGTCAGCTTTTCATTTGATTTTCCTTTTTCAGTTGATAATCTCGATGCGTACATTATATCAGAAGTGTAAGTTGGTGCACGGAGATCTCAGTGAATATAACATACTCTATTTCGAGGTGGGTTTTTGTATTTCATGGAGAATTCACCTTGATTACCTTTTTCATGCTCTTTCTCATTTTGGCATACCTTTCCGCGGAATCATTTTGGCATACCTTTACAAACAACCAGAAGAAAACAGTTGCAGAAAAGCTAGAGAACGGAAATGTATGTGGTTTAATGAATGATATTTTCTTAAATTTTGTTAGGGACACCTTTATATAATCGACGTTTCTCAATCTGTCGATCTCGACCATCCTCATGCCCTTGATTTCCTGAAGGAAGATTGTGTCCATGTCTCGGTAAGTGCCAATGCAAGTTCTTTCAACTTGTGTTTTTGGTAGACTGATCGGTGAATATAGTGCTGATGGGAAAATTCATCGCCATTTTACTTGTAGGATTTTTTCAAGAAACATGGTGTTGCTGTCATGACGATACGCGAGTTATTTGACTTCATAGTCGACCCGACAATTACGGAAGACACAGTTGACAGCTATTTGGAAGAGGTATTGTGTTGCGTAATGCCTAATTGTTTGAATTTCTTCAGAGGATACATTTGGTATTGAACATAGTCCTAATAATATTTTCTATCAGAAACAAGGGTCTAGTTTTCATGGAAAACCATAGAAGTAATCTTCTTGATTTTGAATCCTTTCGTATTTTTTCCCCGTATACTCTCCTCCATAGCTCGTATAGCTTGCGGAAATTGATAGCTCTGAACCCGTGTGGTATGTGACATCTTTAATCACTTGTTTTTCAACCTGCTTCTTGAAATCCAGATGAAATTGTAAAGCTTTGATTGGGAAAGTTACAACTAGTGACGTGTATCTGATGATCTGCTTGTCCTCCTAATGAATTCTAATATTCAGGTCCAACGCAGAATCATGGAGCGGGGAGACATATCTATGGAGGATGAAATTGCGGACTCGGTATTCAGACAGGTTAGTTTAGTTACGCGTTGAGCATTTCAGTATTATGCTAACCCTCTTCAAAATTTCAGCTTTCTATCGTTGGTACTACTTTTCTATATCTGCCCTAGTTTTTTTCTTTCTTTCTCATTGAACATAGTTTTATATGTAGGCTTACATGAATCTCTCAACATGGTTTTTAGTTAGTAGAAATGGAATCTTGAATTATTGTGAAACGAACAAGTTAGTCTTAGTCCTTGTAAGGAATTCAGTCTTAATTAGAGAAGGTGAAAGTCGCGGTATGTGCCTCAAAACAACAGCACTTAGTTTCTGACAAGTGAATCGGTGATTAACTCGAAATCTAGTTTCTGCAGAGGAATTGGTGCGAACCCGAAATCTGGTTTCTACAAAGGAACTCCTCGTGTTTTTTTTTTTTTCTAATGCGTTGTCATGCTTTATATTTCATCAGTCATACATCCCGAAAACTCTACATGCTGTCGAGAAGGCAGAAGAGGAAGTGATGAAGTTAAAGAACGGAAAGGACACGGGCGATATTCTGTACAAAACCATCACCGGCCTCAAGGATGCTCTACCTAAAGTTTCACAGCCCGTAACCTCACATACAGAGGAACAGCCGCTTCAAGGACCACAGGATCCTCTCGACGATCCAGAGGGTTCGAGAGACGATGCTGATTCTGAGGAAGGTTCTGATTCTGAAGAGGGTGACTCTGAAGAAGAGGAAGGAGGGGTGGGTCCTGTGGACAAGAAAGCTGCGAGGAAGGAGAACAAGAAGAAAGTGAAAGAAGAGAAGAGAGAAGCGAGGAAGAACAAGATCCCAAAGGCTCTCAAGAAGAGGAAGAAGAAACTGGCCAAGTCCCATAAGACCAGGTGAGGGAACCTTCTTCCCTTGCATAATAATTCTGCTTAGGGAAAGAGAAAAAAAAAACATTTTTTTTTTCACAATCGTTTTATGTCATTTTTGGTTGTCTGTGTGCGAGATCAGTTACCTATAGTTGGTCTTGTAACTTAAAAATTTTTGTCATCAAAATACGATAAAACCCGAGTGGGAGGTGATCTACTTTCTTATATTAGGATCAAAATGAAAACTAAATAAAAAATATATTATAATGTTTACACTATATAAAAAAAAATTTAACATAATTGTGAACGAATTATATTTGGATATAGTTTTCTGAAATCCAATAAGATATATTTCCAAAAGATGGATTGTGAGGTTCTTCATTTTTAACTTGTTAGTTTTTGCCATTGGATGTGCTTTGTGTATCTCTATTATAGAATCATGTTTATGTAGTAACAAAGAAAAATTATTTAATACATTTAGAAAATTGGTTTTGTTAATCTTAGAAGATTCAGAACTCAATATGTTTTTTTATTCTTCTGTATTGTTGTGTATACCTTTTTTTTTTTTTGCTGTGCTTAGTGTTTTAAAAAAAAAAAATGTAATTCCTTGTTTGGATATACAAAAATAAAATTTATTCATTTGCCAATTTAGTTGTTATTTGGGCCCATAACATTTCATGAGATTAAGCTATTGGAGCCAAAATGGGCTTTTTATACCTCATAGCTTCATATTAGTATAGTGGGCATCCATGTAATGGTTTCAGCTCATTCTTGTTCGATTTGGTATTAAACATCATTGTCTAATTGAATCACTACACCCCAAGGGTTAGGGTTTAATGCACTTAGGGTTCGCTTGTGAAAGAAATTCACTTCTTAAAATAATATTAAAAAAATACCATTTTTTACAATTATAAAAACTGCTACTTTTAACTATAATGTTATTGGAGCTAACAAGATATTATAGGGAGAGATATTTATATCTTTATATTAGGACCATTTTTTCAACCTATATTAGCATTATTAGTAAATCTTAATCTAATGATATGTTGGATACTTCTTGAAAAAAAAAGTTGTATTTAAATCTAAGCTATATTTTAAATTGGCAGTCTTACTTGCACAAAAATGACCAAACTAAAAGAAATTAAAAGGAGTTCAAAAGATAGTCTGAATAGAAAATTAAAAAATACAAATTCAAGCAATTAAGATTTTTGTTTCGACAACTTTTTTTTTTTCAAAAAAAATATCCGACAGCATGTTAATAGTTTATAACTTTTTTGAGTAAAAGGCAAAAGGCTTCTTCTCCTTTGTTTTATCTTTTGAAAACAAATGGAGGTGGAAAATGAAGTCTTTTGCAAAGAGATTAGTGAAACCGCAGACAAAATCTGTTTTAGTGTTTTATACTTTACACCTAAAAAAATTAATCATGATTTGTATATATATATATATATATATATTATGAAAAACATCAAAGATAATATCAACTCACCAAACATAATATAAAGTTCTTTTTAACAAAAAAAAAACATAATATAAAGTTCATAATGATCATGATTTCCCCAAAAATTACGTCATTTGAACTTTTCTCTCTTTTCCCATCGGCTCAAATTCATTTCCAAACCTATAAATAATTATAATATCCCCCAAAATAAAGTTAAAAAAAAAGCCATCATAGAAAATTCAACATGTTTATTTATTAGAGAACATTATAGTAATACATTTGTAAATATAAGTCTTTCCTTTTCTTTTGTTTTTGTTCTCTCTCTACAAGTAAAAATCTCTCACCCCCTCTCTCTCTCTCTTGTTCTTTTATTTTGGTTTTGCTACACAAACTCCACACGAGTAAGTGGAAAAACACAAGGGGAGAAAAAAATTACACATTTAGAATACAAATATTATATATATATATATATATATATATAAGTCAACTATGGGTTGATTGGTTTATGATAATTGGTGATAGTTTATTTTGATTGATAGTATGGAGAATAATTAGGCAGATGTGGCAGTTGGTGTCTAGGAAGTGGGAATGCAATAAGGCTCCCAAAACAAAAGGGACCTCTTTTGATCTTTGCACCCATTGACCACCAAAACCTCGTCGCCATTCCCTTGCTGCTTATTCCTCCTCACTACCACATATTGTTGTTCCTCGCTCTTTTCGTCAGTGGAACCCATTCTTATGGGCTTAGGCCTCCAATAGTATTCATACACATTCAACGAAGTGGTGGTAGTGGCGGCTGGTGGCCGTGGTCGTGGTCGGGGTGGTAGGGATTGAGATTTAGGCTTTGGTTTCTCCAGTTCGGCCGGCTTTTCTTCTTCTTCCTCCTCCTCCTCTTTCTCACTACCCTTTGGCTTAATGATATCATTGAGATTCTTTGATGACCATAGGTTAGCCCTAATACGTTTGTTCACCATTAGGGCTAACCTATGAACACTGATCAAGCCATGGGTAGTTGAAAATTTTGGTGCTTGCTCCATAGCAAACCTCATCTCCATCTCATCATGTCCTTCTCCTTCTTCTTCTTCAGAACTCTCGAACCCGTTTTCCTCTTTCTCTTGCTCCATCTCGTCCGTTATTTCTTCGGTCTTGTCCACGTTTTGGTTTGCCTTGGCAAATGTTAGGACGAGCCGGCCATCTTGGCGTTGAGCACAGAAGTTGTCCTTGGAAGGGATTTCTACGGCTTCAAGAACCAAACGGCCGTTGTCACGGCGTGTCCTCATGTATGTGGAAGCACCGTCTTGGCGAGAAAGAGACTGTATTGGAGGAGGGAAAGACCTCTGAGTGGATTTCTTGTCCCCCAAGCAACTAGACTTCGCAGCCATAACCGGTTCTTCTTGCTTCCATGCTCTGAACTCTTGTTTCTCCGGTTCCTTCTGCAATCCCTGGAAGTTTCCAACATCGTCTTTCTCTTCTAAAACTTCCTCCGATTTCTCCGACAAATTGTACCATGAAAACCCTTCGGATCCAGTCTCCGAACCCAAACTCTCAGTACAGATCTCGAGGCTTCTCTCACTCAAAGAGCTCTTAGATCTTCTCACAAGTGGGTGCACGTAAGGAGGAGGAACCGACTTTCCCATGCAAACGTCCTTTTTCTTCTCGGACAAGATCAAGCCCCACACATCGACTTGTCCATTTCTCTCACCCTCTATCTCTTTCTTCTTCTCTTCCTGAATCGAAGTCCATATGTCAAAGGCCGACTTCACTTCACTGTCTTCTCCTCCTCCTCCTCCTCCTCCTCTGCTTTCTTGTGATGCATTCTTCTTCGGAGGAGACGACAGGCCATTTTGTGAAAGCCACTTCTTTGACGACATATCTGCAGATAACGTCCTTCTGAGTGAAGAAGCGCGTGACGATCTGTTGTCTGAATCGGACCCCAAGATCGAAACTATGCCGTGCTTCTTGTTCACTATTGTTCCCTCTCCCTCCATCTTCAATGGGGAAGAAAGTCCGAGATTCATACTCACACAACCACTCATCTCCACAACGATCAACGACAAAAAAATCGCTTCGAGGCGAAGAAAAATACCAGTTTCCTGCAAACCCAGAAACACGAACTTGATCAGCAATCGACCCATTTCCTTATACGACGCGATGAATCGGAAATCACCGGATAAAAATAAAATCTCTCACGAAAACCATTCAACGTTTAGAAATCAATCGAGCTGCAGAACTGTACCTGGAAACAGAGGACGACGATGAATTTGTGCGATCAGATGGAGGAACCAACAGAGGCCCGCAGAGAGACCACTGGGTTGCTTAGATGAAGACGAACAACAAACAGAGAAAACCTCTTTGACAGGACGGATCAAACAGCGAAATTTCGTTTTTTTTTTTGTGTGTGATCGTGAAGTTCTTGTGAATCAACGAGGCTTGATGGCAATTGAGGATGATGGAGGCAACTCTAATGGGTATAAGTAGTGAGGGTAAAGTCCATGTGGGTCCCAATCTGACGCCACCATTTTTTTCTTTTTAAATTAAAAAAAAATTATTAAAACCTTTTTCCCTTTTCCCCATTTTCATTTTGGTATAAACTTTACAATTATTTTAACATTTTTTTTGGGTGTGGATCTCTCTACTCACCTTTCAAATGGAAAGCATTTGAAATTTCTAATGTAATAAAAACCATTATAACTCTTTTATTTAGTTTGGTGGTCCATCTACTAAATCGAATTGCACGGTTTTTATTCAAGCAACAAAGTTTCAAAATATATTTATGAAAAAAATTATATGCTCGAAGAAAATGGCATCTCTAACCAAAATGACATGATTATCATAAAACATAGATCGTAAGTGATCATATGAAAATTTATTAAACGGAATATGTATGATATGTTTTATTATATATAAATGGAGGAAATTGAACTATCTGCCTTGAAATTTGATCTTGTCATGTGTATGTTATTTTCATAAAACTTATTACGATATCGATTCAAATTTAATTCATTAATGGCCATCGGGCCATTTCTTATTTAAAATATATATTCCCTAGGCTGAATTGAGTTTGCTAAATGGTGTCCAACTTTAGATTATATATAAAAAAAATAGCAAAGGTTTTATATTTTAGTGGACATAAAAGATATTAAGCCACCCAAATGCTTAAGGACACTGATTAATAGAAATGAAAAATTTATTATTTGATAAACGTTGGAGAAAACAGGTTAATCTTGATTATTCTTGAGACGACAACATTACACTTATTAAAATAACGAATATTTTTCGTTTTCCTCTTTTGGAAATAATTGGTTATCATATATATATATACACATAAGTTTTTTTGGTAAATACACACGTATAAGTTCTGGTAGAGAAATAAATTCTATTTAATATTACGATGCTTTGTCAGTCAGATTCGAACCACCTTTCCGACATGCCAAATATTTATTTTTCTCATTTTAAAATTAATAATATCAATATATAAATTGTGCATAATGACCGAGTTATCTTTAAAAATATAAAAATGATAAATGATAAAATTGTTATATAATAATTTAGTTTTTTTACTCGTCCTGAAATAATTAACAACAATACATAAAATCAAAAACATTATATTTATCTACATATAGTATGCAGAGGAGTTGTAATTAAAATAACATATATGATAAATAATAGAACTGTTAAATAGCAATTGCTGCTAATTTTCAACGTAATATTCCTAGATATTTGAATTAGATTAGTTCACTAAATATAAAAAAAAATATATTTTTATCAAAAAAATATAAAAAAAAATATTATTAGTTAGTCCGAATGATTGTGAGCCAAATTGCAGCGTAGTTGTTATATATATATATATATATATATATATATATATATATATCATAAAATAATTACAAGTTGCGAAGAAAAAGAGAACAACAAATAGATAATGTTTTCCTATGATATTTGAATGAATTTAAGCGCACAATTGTTCGCAAATGCTTACATATGGATCCACATATTCGTATGTTAGTGTGTCTTGTTATTTACAGGGAACGAAAATCGCCAAAAAAAAAATCATACGAAAAATAAGATTTAAGAAAATCATGGTATCGATGCCTTGGTCGAGACTCAGAGAGTGCCGTGGCACGTTATTGAGGGCACATTTTGGAAGCCGATTTTTATTTTATTCAAAAAATTAAATTGAACGAGCTGGATGTCATTTTTGTGTGGGGGTAAATAATAATAATAATAATAATAATAATAATAATAATAATAAGTGACGTGGTGCATTTATTCAAAACAGAGGTCGATATTCGTTAAAGCTATAAGTCGTGCATGCATGGGAACTTGAAGATATTAAATTGCATGCCAACAAATGTATTTACTCTTAAATTAATAACGATGGAGTGAATATCTAAAAAAAATATCACATTAAAAAAAATGGTATTTTGAATTGAATTGTTTTGAGATAAAGATGTTTCCAGAAATAGAATTTAAAAGTAGAATGAAATATCTTTTGGTCAAATTTAACACTGTCCGTTTATGATAAATCCAGAAATTCACCAAAGGTACTCTCTAATACGAACGGAAAGGTGATAAATAAAACCATTATTATTTTTCTAATAAAAAATCTATCAACTTTTAAAAATATGGTTATTGGTTACTAGTACTAAAATGTCTCATAACCTAAAAATATGATTTGATAGTTTGAATTCTAACATCTATTAGTACCTTACTCTATTTTTTTTACAGGAAAGTAATATAATTCAGTAATTTCAAATCTTATTAAATTTTACATTTTCAAATCTATAACTTTAAAAATGAATTTTAAGAACTTTTGAAAGCCATTCTGAACAAAATTAAAGAATTTTTCTAAATGTGAAAAAAAAAATACAGGAAGCACGTAGGTACCGACTGAATGCATGCATAAGTATTAAGTATATTCATTTTATTTGAGTTTTGATGCTATACATATTCAATATTTCTTTTTATAGCATGATTTTTTGATGGTCCAATATATTTTTTATAACCCTAAACCATGATATGTATATATATATATATACTGTGTTTTTTCTAAATGAAATTTCAAGAAATGTGAGAGGTGATAACCAGATGTTAGTAAATATGATCCGATCCATCATGTTGGTTCAAACAAGAAACCAAATTTCGACAGAAATAAGATGATTGAATATAATTATTTTAGTCACTACAATATAATTTTTTATCCAAATATCCAAAGATACTCGTAAAATACGAGGGGACAAAATATATGTGTGTGTACGATTTCTAAACAAAAAGAGAAAGAAGTGTATTCGCTACCAAAACCGACAAAAGTTGCCAAAAGAAGAGAGCACAAAGAAAGAAAAGTGGCTTAAGATGGAAGCAAAGATCCCTTTGAACATGGTTTTGATGCCATTCCACGTCTCATGCATGCATTGCATGGCCTCCGATTTCTATTTATTTTATTAATTAAACCCCAAAATATCACAAACACACACACACAGACATATATATAGATATATATATCACTCTCTTTGTTTTACTTTTTTTTTTTTGTTAATTTGGAAGTTCACCCAACCTTTGTTTATTCTCTATTTCGGTTGATGAATTTGAAATCAATTACTTTATTATTTTGCGAATCCATGCCGATATTTTCTACAAGTTACAAATCAATGACATGGTAGTTGAATTGATATTCAGTAGCTAGACTAATATCTTGAGTCTACTATATATAGATTAAAAACAATATTAAAAATTATTTGTAATTTTTTGTTCGGTGTAATTATAATTTTTAAATTTGTTAATCGGTGCAGCATCACCTTATTAGTATGCAAACTTGTTACACAAATGTAAATTGTGTATATATATTCTACGATATTAGATTGGTCTCGGTGTTTCTGCATCATCAACTCCGAATTAATGCAAGGAATAATAAAATCATAACCTTATTCTTTACATTTTTTGTAATATAGTACATTGGAGTGATAGTAATAGTATAGTAACTATAGTTTAAACATTTGATTTAACCAAAATAGATTTTTTATTTATTTTTGTAAGCCGTTTTCATTCTTTTATTATGGCTAAAGCTTTGTTATTATGGTTTTCAAGGATTTTTTTGAGATGGGTATTCTATATTAGAATAGTAAAAAGCTGATTTCCGTTAAAAACTTCAAAAATAAATTAAAACAAAACAAATATTTGTTTGACAATATCCTATAATTTCCTCCGTTCATATTTTATTATGTTATTTTACTATTTCCTCTGGTCATATTTCATTAACCATTTACATCCATAAGTAAAAATATATGTAATGGCTTAGCTTTATCTTTTAAGATTTTTAAGGGACAATACATATGTATGATCTTAATATTTGAAGATCATCCTTATTGAATTGTTCTCGGATCTATATATGTATGTGCCTTAAATTTGTAACACAAATTATCGTTGAAATTATATTTAGATTAATTCCGCATAAACGTAATAGCATCATAAAGAGTACAATGCTCATATATCTTATTCATATTCTGTTCATCAATTAAGATAATAAAACAAAAAGTCGAATTTAGGAAGAACAACTAATTCTTTGCATTACTTTAAATTGGTATATTCTTCAATTTCAAGATTTTAGATAAATTCTTTTAACTTAAAAACAAAACAAGATAAATAGATTAAATATGGATCGTATGTAAATGTGAGGTGAAGGATAACCAATGCTTTAGGAAAGGTGGATGCTTCTTGTCTCTCTATAAAGCAAGACCACTAGAACCTACGCAAAAACAAAATTCTTATTTTACCCTAAAAAAAATTCACATTTAATTTACCATATAATTTCGCTCACCGAATTGTAGCGCATTCTTTATATTGTTTTATATATTAGTTGCACATTTGCGTATGCATGTACATATTTTTTTAAACCATGGTGGGTACGTGTGAATTTGTCAACTTGTACAATAGAAAATAGAGTTTCTATTAATTAAAATTACGTGCATGCATCATCTTTCTCAAATTGACTTTAACAAACTAGTGCGGTTACAAAAGGGGCATACTTTACCAAAAAAATATAATATATTAAGATTATAAATAAATTAACCAAACAATCCCAGCATGGCAATAGATAGTCTATTAAGTTGATCGTGTTTATTTAGATCAAAGTCATAAAATTGGTTATTTAAATTAATAAGACTACTGATTTTGTAATATCAACTATAAACACATAATATAATTTTTAAAAAAAAATTGGTATTACTAAAATTTAATATCTAATGACTATAAAATTTGACTAGATATCATTTATCGACCCCTCGGAGACATAGAATCACATAACTATTAAGAACAGTTTTTCCCCCCGACCAAATAGCAATAATGTCAAACCGATATCAAATAATTAATTAATTAATAATCAGTATCATGCATGTGATATAATATTAAATTGCCTTATTAAAACGGTTTCC